TTAGCAGGGCCGTTGACCTGGGGCAGCACAGACAGACGTAGTCGGGTGTGTACAGTGGGTACGGTCACGCGCCACAGGATGGGTTCGTGTGTACAACGGGGTACGGCCAAGCGTTACATAGGATAGGGAGAGTTGCGCCCTCCTGAGGACCTTTGTTCGACCGAAGCTAAAAGCGTAGAGGGAGCCTGTCATGATGTCGAGGGTGTTCTGATGCGTGCGTTTCATGACAAATTAGTGTCGTCGTTTGTCGCTTCACCGGACAATGTGCAGTTCGGAAGCGTCATCTACGTGTGCCCATTGCTGCGACGTATTTTTGGGTGTTGCACCGAATGAAGGCACGGCATTAGGGAAGTGGAAAAGACAACCATTGAGCGCTGGCGCGCTGTCGAGTCCTCCTTCTACTGCCCGCAAATCGCTTCCACCTGTTGGTCTCCTCCAATCGTGCGACAAGCCTCGAGCAGCACGGAGTAAAACGTTGCTTGCTGTTTCGTGCCTTCCGCCGCCCCGAGTCTGGCCAATACCACGAAATAAGCGAGTTTAGGCGCAAGTTTGTCACGAATAGTGCGCAGTATGTAGTCGAACTTGCAGCGTGATCTGCACAGATAGACGTCGCTCTGTATTGATTTTTGAGCTCACACGTCTCCACACGACAGCTACACAATAGGGCGGTACTAGCCCAGCACAGGGTATATGGGTGGTGTTGGATGTTGTAATCGTCAATCAATAAAGAGAGGCAAACGCAGACAATTGCGATGTTGCCTGTGAGTCGCCACGCTACTGACTTTTAGGCTCACCCCTTGGTCATGCCCAAACACGCCTCGTCGAACTGTTGGAAATCCATCATCGTGCGCCCCTGCGTGTTGTAGAAACACTTTGTTGTGGTGTGTACTGCTTCATTTGGGTGTTGATTATTTTATGAGCGAAGAATGAGGATAGTGATTCCAGTCGTTTGCACCAAAACTGGAAGTACGTTTGGAACTAGATATACTCACAACTGATCTCGGGCGCCGGATATTACCAAGGAACTTCACTTTACATTCTCCTTGCAGAGGAGAGCTGTTCCACGGCACCAATGTTTCGAGGAGACGGAGTGTCCAGGAGCCGTCGATGTTCCTGACCGCCTTGTCCCCCGTTGACTCGTCTTACAGGTAGGAGAACTGTACAGCTGGGGTGAAATTGCACGACGACGAGCAAGACTACCCGCAAGGGCCACACTGACTTCGAAGAGTCGGTCACATACACGTCGTTGCTACCGAATTATCGAAGTCGTAAATCAACCTTGCGAGTAGTCTTGCACGTCGTTTCGCAATTATACCCCGGCTGTAGAGTCCACAAGTTCCTCTTCCTGAAAAGAGAGTTCACGGGGGACAAGGCGGCCAGGGACATCGGCGGCTCCTAGCCACTCCGTCGCCAAGAAATCATTTGTGCCATGGAGTACTTGACCTAGCTTAGGGTCAACTCAGTCGAATGTTGGTGACCCCAAAGTAATGTACTGTCGCGCTTTGGAACTTGTCTTCCTCATACGGACCGTTCGTAACAGACCTTGCTGCTCGTGGCCCAGTTCATCTCGGCGTCGGAGCGAAAATCGCACTGCCCGGAACCCGACATCTGTTCCATTCGGCGGTGGACCTACCCAGCGTGCCCAATGGTGCCATAATTTGCGAGAGAATGGCCAGAAGAGGGGTGGAAAAACGACGCGCAGAAATTTGGTGGCAGCAGAGTGTTCAGGGTTACATGCATTATTAATAGTGTGACCAAGCTACAGAAAAAGAGGGGAATCATCTACTTGCGGTTGTACAGCCTCCCAAGGAGCCCGTTGCAGCTTTTTATCGCCAAAACGCCAAGGTGCACGACAACGTGTTGAGATTTTACGGTTCGAACCATGTCTTCACGGAAAAAAAATCGGGCAGCCAAGAAGGTCCCTAGCGGTTAAGTGTGCGCACACTACGTTTACCTCCACGTGGATGAGGATGAAAGTCGCCTTCGAGATAGCGTTGCGCCCTTCCCTGTGTCACCCGGGAAATACACAAGGATATTCGATCGATGTAAGGTCAAGGCTTTGGGCGAGAGATCAGGAAAGAGTTGGGAGGGGAAACTGGTTCGTTCGTGTCTGTCTGTCTGGCTGTCTGTCTGTCTGTATTGCCTCTCTGTGTAAATTTAGCCAATCAATGCGAGACTGTTCAAGTTGAAACAAAAACCGTTTGACGGTCATCATTGGCCGCCACCACACCCGGAGAGATTCCGCTACTCCATCTTATCCAGGCTTCCTTTCTCGTATATGTTTGATTGAGTGAAACTAGCAATCAATGTACTCTCCTTCATTGTTAAAAAGTAGTATTAGGGGTCTTCGTTGCCCTGTCACTGTTTTTGGTTGGTCCAGGAACATCTTGTTTCTTCCCGTTGTTGTTTGGTAGTTGCTGCTGCTTTCAAATATTCTCGTAAACCGTGCTATAATCTGCTCAGTGCGTTCTGACATTTGGTATTGGTCCGACTGTTGAGGACGCCGTCCGTTGTTACAGGCCGACCGCTTGTACACCACAGACGTCGCAGGAAACACACCATCGCGCCCCGTCGACAAACGATGTCAACCTCAAACAAACACAGCCAAAAGTACTTCAAGATCACCAGTCAAGACCATAAAATCGGATGATCCCGTCGTTGCACCCCTACCAGGACTGGGATTACTGCTGTACCAAATGTTGGTGTAGCTTGTGATAGCGGAAGTTCATATCGGGTATATATTGACCTGTCTCGAAGAGTAGGCAAACGACAAGGAGCATCGCGATAAGAGGGCAGAAGCGACTTTTGCTGTGAAGACAAAATCAACGCTTAACTACACGAGCTAGTTGTGCCGAACGTGGCACAGGTCTACTGCTACAAACGCGTGCCTACGTGCTACCTGGTGGTCTAGTGTTCATCATGCTTCCTAACACAAGCTATCAAGCTTTCATGCTTCTCAACACAAGCTATCAAGCTTTCTTTAAAGCCACACACACGTCCCCCCCCTTCCTGCCCGATCCGGTCATTGCGCACTACCCATTCCAAACATGACCTGGCGACCTCCTTCCAGGCCTCCTGGACGACGTCCTTCGATCGTGTCGATCCATGCCCTCCATCCCCTTCGCCTCCGCTCTGTGGGGTAACAGAAAATCGCCCGTCTCCACCCTCGTTCCAAAGTGGAGCCGACCTGTGCATCGGCAAGCGATTGATCGGAAATCACTTGTGGTTGCAGTTCATAGCGTGTCATATAGACATCGTCTACGCCTGCTTTAACGCCGGAGTCCTTACCCTAAGTTGACCCGCTCCACACCGCAACATCCCTCCCTTGCAAGCTAGATGTGCGCACGGTACATTTGCCTTTGCCGGGTCTGCTTGCCCCTCCTGGTAGCTTCAGTTTGGACTCACAGGCGAAGGGCTACCGTAGATAGAGCAACCTACCCTGGAGGCCCCGCCGGTCTTGCTTCGCCCAAGTTCCCTCGACCCAGATCAGGCGTGCGAACAGAAGCAGTGTCCCGCTTCTCTTTGCGAGCGCAATCGTCATCTGCTCTCCAGGAGTCGATACCCAGATAGTCGTCCTACAGTCGTCGCAAGTATGAAGAAATATATGGTCCGCAGCACACAGGGCGCAAAGAATATCAATACAGTCTGTAGACCTCAACAAATAGTCTAATTGGAGCCAAGCCAAGTCGCTCACATTACTCATTATTTCCGGCGTCGTACATAATTTGTGTATTTTATTAGGCAAGGGCAACAGGGACACATTTGCGTAATCGCTTCTGGACCAAACTTACACATGATGCAGGCGACGGAATGTTCGCCATGTTGATGGTCACGAAGAGTAACAGAGATAACGGTGGTTGTTCGTATTGCCCCCACAAACACCCACGGCGAGTTTCTGTCCCGAACTGTATGCAGGACTTGTCTCTTTTGATTGGTCAGCTGGTTGGCTACAAAAAGAACCACGCGACCATCAACACCAACAAACACACGTCGAATTTGGACGTTCTACCGCCATTGTGCCGTGCCGAGATACGCTGCGCGCAAGACCTTCTCGGACAGCCGTTTCCAAAAACGCCATAATGATTGGCTGGAACACCCACATTCGAAATTCAAAAAAATCTCGCCGCGTCTCTCTGGGCGTCTCCAATCGGCAACTGCTTCGTCGACCCGCACACCCAACAGAGCAGTCATAGGGCTGAGAGGTACGCAAGGAGCTGTTGCTGGGGAGAATGTCCCGTCGCTATGGGACTCGATCTACCACGAAGGCGGCATGTAGCAAAGCAGCGGTCGCAGCCAACGCACAGGCAACCTCCAACCCAACGAGCGGCACGGCGAGGCATGCTGCACCAGAAGCAGCACTAGCGCCCCCCCCTCGGATCTCGAACCAAGTAGTGACGGGCGACGGGCAGCAGCAGGGTACAATGCCAGCAGCAGCAGTAGCAGCAGCAGGAGTGGGAGCGACCAAACGTGCTGACTCTCATCTCTTTCCACAGGTGGCACAAAAAGTACCAGACATTCCGCACGCCACAGCAGCAACAACAGCAGTGCCGCCAGCGCCATCAGCACAATCACCAGCGGCCGCAGAAGTACTGTTCACGGCGGAAAACCACCCTCCTGTCGGAGCAAGCAGCGGAGTCGATTATCTCAGGACACGGTCGAGGCTTTGCCTCGGCAAGCGTCGTCGCGCGTTGCGGGCGCAGCACGCGGCGATTGGTCAACCGTCTGTCGGCACAGCAGGCTCTCCGTCGTTCCAGGAACGATTTCGCTCGCCCTTCACTTCGTCCGCTGCGCTCGCCCCCTCCGCCGAGGCCATAGGCTACCCTTGGGGTGCTTCGCCGGGTTTGAGTGAGGGCCGCCTCGATAGGGCAGGAGTTCTCGCGCCGGCTGCTTGGACGATTGGGCGCTCGTCAAGTGGACCGTCGCCGCCGTTCGTTGGGCTCGAGAACCTGGGAGAGACGTGCTATGTGAATGCCGTGCTGCAGGCTCTGACAGCGTGCCATATGGCGCTCGCGTCGAGTAGCGGGGGTGGTGGTGGATGGCACGACGTAGGGAGCGAGGGGTCAGAAGGAGTATCTTCGACCCCACCAGCAGCCGATGCTGCACCTGCTGGTGCTGCTCTTGCGGGGACAGCAGCGCCGGTTGGGAGGGAAACTGGAACCCAAAGGAATCCGGTGCTTGTCGCTCTGGAGCAGGTGCTGGGGGAGATGGAAACACGCAACCGGGCGCTCTTTCAGCAGCAATTGGTGGCCGCTGGGTCGCAGACGGCTGTTTCACCGCCCGCTGAACCCGAGTCGACCAGCAGCGGTGCTACTAGTAGCGCGGAGTCCAAGACGTGCCAATGGTTCGACCAAACGCCGCTCCGACCGAGCGCTTCGACGGGAGAAGGCGTTCGTGTTGAGTCAATTGCGCCGACTTCTTTGGTAGAGCTGATTCATGGAGGGTGGCTGAGCGCTGACCGTGCGCGACTCGGAGGTGGGGGGGCGGGGACTACGGGGTCGACTGATTTCGGAACAGGACAGGCGTGTGTCTCCGAGCTTTTGGGGAAGTTTCTCGGTCTCGTCGTCGACGACGGCGGCGGCGGGGCCACTTCTCCGGGCGGTGTTGGCGGGCGAAGGAGCGGCGGCACCCACAGCAGTAGCTTCTGCGGCTTGGCCCAGGCGTTTCGCGGGACACTCTGCGCCCGTACTCTGTGCGTGGAGTGCGAGCGGGACAGAACCGCCCGCGAGGACTTCACCGAGCTAACCTTGCCGCCCCTCCTACCGCCGCAGCACGCCCCACCTCTCACGGCGCAAAGAGCTATCCCGGCGGCCGAGAACGACGGCGGGCCTTCGCTCCGGGGGCGGCACCGGACAATACAGACTCTCATCGACGGGGTGTTCGAGAGAGAGTCCCTGGCGGGTAATAACAAGGTCTGGTGCGAGGCGTGCCGTCAGTGGACGGAAGCAGAACGCCGGTCTTCGGTCCACTCGCCACCCGGCCTGCTGGCCTTGCACGTTCGCCCGGGGACGCGGAAACGCTCGTCGCCGTGCCTGTACCCAAAGGCGCTCGCCCGTGCCTCCGGCGGGGCCCCCGATAGCGTGGTGGGTGATGTGCGTCGTGGAGCGGACGGGCGACTGCCCGCGGGCAGCAGGGAGGAGGCAATCGAGCGTACGCTGGTCGTGAGAAAGGCCGCGAGGTGTCAGTTCCACGGAGGCGGCGTTAACAGCAGCAGTAGCGGCAGCAGCAGCAGCAGCAGCAGCAGTGTCGACTCGTGCACCGGTCAGCTTTGCGATTCTGGGGACATTTTCTACGACCTGATCGGCGCCATCCTCCACCAGGGACAGACCCTTGCTTCCGGCCATTATACCTTCGCGATTAATGCCGCTGCTGGGGACTGGGCGTCGTTCCTGGCGCAGCAGCAGCAGCAGCAGCAGCAGCAAGCGGACAGGGACAATCGGGCGTTGGTGCAGCAAGGGCCGCCGGGGGCAACCGCAGCTGGTTCGACGTATGGAAAGCCGGATTTCGCGCTTTTCGACGATGCCACGGTGAGGTGGTTGTCTCTTGAAGAGGAGCGCGCTGTCTTGAGGGGCGACGGCGGGGGTTTTGGCGATCCGTTCTTGGTGTTTTACGCTCGGCGGCCATGACATCGTGTTTGTCGTCGGTTCGGAAAACGGATGGTTGGCGGAGTGTGATGGTTGTGATGGTGAGCGTGTACTTAGCGGCAAGGAAATTTTATCGTTAGTCTGGTGCAGCAATAATAATCGTACTGTGTGTGTGTCCCAGAAGACAGCCGTAATGTGCCGTAAAACTTCTCGCCGGAAAGAAAGCTTCGCGGAGAGAGTCTTGACCGCGTACACCACCTCATGTCGCATGTTGAACATGCGCGGTTTGCGTTTTAGTTTTTTTTCGCCTTGATTGTTCTGCTCCGGTCCATGTTCTTTTGGCCTTGAGCTGTAGTGTATCCGGGTGGCGCCGGGTGTTCTCCCCATTTTCTCCCCGGTGTTGTGTTGGTTAATGTGCAACACAGGTATTGCAAGCTTTTAGAATGATGCGGCCAGACGAAGAGATCCACAAGCTTCGCTACTCAACCAGGAGTAGCCGGCAATCACGGACGCGGGAGATTGTCGCGCACCGGTAGACAGTAGAACATGGAGGTATTGGACGCAGAAAACGCCGCACCCCCGTTTCAATGAAAGTCGCACTTGGCGCAGATAGTTCGAGGCATGAAGTAACCCGTATATGGGGGAACGGATACGTAACCCTCTAGCAGGTAGGGCCTGTCTGTGCGTTTTTTGTTCCACGAGATATTGGTGGTAAGACTTGCCCTAGTAGGGTGGCGGCGATGGACACGACTAAGACTTGCCCAGAAGAGAGTGGCGGCGATGGACAGGTCGGTCCAAGAGTTTGTGCTTGGAGGCAAGAAAGTCGGAGTCTGAACATGTACAGTCTTGTTTTGATTTTTTTCACGACGGAGACACGTTCGGATGCATATGTAGCTCTGGCGAAAATAAACCATCACACTATCTGTCGTACGATCGCACGGCCCTGAAGCACTAGCATGCTCGGGCACGAGGGATGAGCCCACCCACGCACGAGGAAATGGGGCAGCACCGCCAACGGCCGTGACACTACAACAAGTCGTTGGTAGCGGGCGCTCTGGTTCCGTATGAAGACGTGTTTCGTCTTGTGCCATTGCTCGGTATCATATGCGGCAGTGGACACCAAGGTTCTGCGATTAATGTGCCACTTGAGTAACGCACTAAATTCGCTGTTCAGTCCAACTCAACGCCCGACAACGCGAACAGTGCACATGTTCCAACGCACATCGTGCAGGGCGGGAGCTCGAATAACGTCCTCACTCGGCAAGAACAGATTTAGGTCGCCAAAAGTACACTCCTCCCGACTGCGGATGGGAGGGCGGGACTCCATGACTTCTACGTACGTGTACACAACATTTTGTTTTTCAAGTAGTCAGAATCCCAAAGAGTAAAAAAAATTAAACGTTGCAAATCACGTCGAGATGAGGAACCCACACCGACCCTCTGCGACACTCCAAAAAACAAGACCAGAACGGAAAGCAGGAAAAAGCGAGTGACCGCGCGCACATGACCAGCGCGAGACAAAGTCCGGTACAGACCACAGAGCCGAAGCGTCGGAAACAGTCAAACAGGCAACACCACCTACCAACGGAGGGCACTTCACGGTGGATAGTACTCCAAGCCAGCTAGGCCAAAAGGGTGCGTACGAAGACCTCAGCAATAAGCAACAATCCCAATGAGGAGCAACCTTCAGAAAACCAACTGAAGGATTGGCACAAACCAGAGCCTGCGGCGAAAACGTGAGACACAAAGCTTACGGTCGACCGAACCCCAACCTCGCAAGAAGAAGGGTGCGTGAACGTAATCTGTGCGTCGTGAAGGTCTTGCTCTTCTTCTCCGCCAATGCACCGGCAAGGGTTGCACTACCTGCCACCGCCATCCGACCCTGCCACCACGAGCGGAGACACCTTCACCTTTACCGGATATACCCGTCCGGGCACAACTCGGACTCAGACGTCTGGGTTGCCGTGGAACTGATCCAACGTGCACAACACGGTCCGAAGGAAGTCCTTGCGCTTCTGGAGAGTGCAGGACTAGTGAGGGCTTGTCCCGTAGGGGTGAACTCGTCAAGAGGACATCGCCCTTCCTAATGATAGGTTCGACCTGCGCGCTGTCCACGCTACCATCTGGGTGGGTAACGAGAGAAGGCAGTGTGGCAGACGACATCTCATGAGCATAACCTCGATCGTTAATGGTTGTGTCGCTGGTTCGTAGGGAACAACACCATCAACTTCGCGGCGGGATAAAACCGCACGCCGATAAAACCCTCGACCCCTCGTCAAGAGATGCCAATTGTCTACATATTGTATGTTAAGTGTTGGCGCGTTTGGATTGATGGGGCTCCTTCACAAGACAATTGTCATAGCGGTGTCATCGACACGACTGAACTTGGAATTGTGTTAGAAAGGCTTACCCATTAGACTACTCCGTCAGCGCTGACTGAGTACATGCAGTCTGATGGGTAAGCCTTTCTAACAAATTGGATCAGGCTGTATTACCATTGAAGAAGACAACCACGCATCCACTTGTTCACAAATATTAGCACGTTCGATGCCATCATACGTGCAAGTATAAACACTCAAACGGGGGTCATCTCTGAAACTGCCATCGTTGGCACAGATTGACGCACACATACGGGGCGAAGCGCACCTGGCACCTCGAGACACGGAAGCACACACCCACACCGGTCGCCCCGGTGATCTAGTGGGGCCCCGGTGGTCTAGTGAGCCTCGCAGCCTGCTAAGGGCCAGGTCATGGGTTCGAGTCCCGGCAGAGAGAGTTTTTTTCTCACTAAATATATCCTGGTCTAGGATGAAAGCGACGCGCTGCAAAGCTCGTTTGTTAGTAAACCATAATCGACTTCGTAAGTCGCGAGGGAAGGGATTGCTGTACCCTTCTCGCGACAAAAATACCTCAGGCATGAACCGCAGGAGGGGGTCCACCCCCCCCCTCCTATGTGACCCCGGTTGGGTCGTCTAGCTGGTAGAAGTGGAGGATAGGGGCCAGAGGGGCAGACGACACAGTCCAATGATGGGAGAAAAACAACAACAACCCACTCTCCTGTTCCTTGTTAGAAAAAAACATAGGGAAGAGCTGCCCACGTCTTGAATAAGAGATAAAAACACGAAGCGGACCCTTGGGCACGGTTTCAACATACACAACACAACCTTGACTGATGCTCCTGTTATCCACGAAACCAAAATAACGTGGAATGGCTACCTACTCACTTCTACGACCGCAGCCTTGGTGGCGAACGCCGCGTTCCTGTTCCAGGGACATGCCTTGTGGCTCAAATGTTGGGTTGGGGAACACCTGCGCAAAACAAAGTCGAGAGAGCCGCAGCAGTCCCCGCGCCTCTTGTAGTCCAGAAAGAAGCGATGGTTCGAAGAGACAGAAAGAGCAGAGGAGCGAGCAACACAATCTAACGGTTGTCTATTTTTTGTCATCCTATGCATATGATGAGGGAGGCAACGTGATAATAACAACTTTCTTGACTGCTGGGAGAACTGCACGTGGAGATGGACCTACGTCACTACTTGCACCTCAAGACTTGGAGAACACATCTCGATTCTTCCCGTACGCCGCAGGTGTCGCTCTCTTTCGGACTTCTTTTTTTTTTTGGTCTTCACTCAAATCAGCGCTCACGGCACTAGTGCCGTTTACTCCAACCCGTGGTCACACAGAAGAGCCCCTCTCTACCCTCCCCTCCTGCGGTACGTTGCCTTCGATTTTTAATGCGAGAAGAGTTCAGCACTCTCTTCCCTCTGTGTACACACGAACTAGCGCTATCCACTAGGCCAGGAGGGGAAGCGAGAGAAAAACTCACTTTGCAAGAAAAGCTCGCTTACGCCGGGATTCGAACCCCTGACCTGACCTCTATAAGGTTTCGAGGTTACCAAGTAGACCACCGGGGCGACCTGCTTTGGGTCCGACGAAGCAGCAAGCAGAACACACACGCAAACGGAGGCTGTGTTTTGCGGGCTTCGTTATGCGCATGGAGGACAACCGCCTCCCCAAGCGCATGCTGCTGGGAGCGATGGCGGGGGGTACCGGATACCGGGGCGGGCAGGAGAGCGACTGGGTGTATCGCCTAGGAGAGGACCTCGTGGCGTTTGGCATGAAAGAGGAGAAGGAGGGGGGGAGATGGAAAGAGAGCGCCAAGGACCAGGAGGCGTGGTACGACAAGATCGAGGACGGGGCGGCATGGTTCATGAGGAAATGGCACAGACAGGAGGCGGAAGCATCCGCGAAGCGCCAGCGCCAGCGCGCGGAGGAAGCAGAGACGGAGAG